TCACACAATGGAAACATTTGCTTTGTGATTGGCTAGGAGGATGGAGATGCAGCCGCAACACTGAGGTCTATGAGGCCTGTAGCACTTACTGCTGGAGCAGGCACAGAAGTTCAGCAGGAGCTGGACTTCCACTCGCATGTACACCTGATGATTTGCTGTAAAAAAGGCATCAGTTCTGATTATGGTAGGTAACTTTACAGCAAAGTCACTTTGCAACTTTCTGAACTCCAGTAAGAATATTGTTCCTAGAGCTGGGCTTGAAAATGACATGTGGAAGTCATCTTTGATAGACTGTTGGACTGAAATCATTGTGAATGGTATTCTGTTCTGTCTGGAGTGAAATATGCTGCTTATATTATTTAAAATGAATTGTCATAAATACATTTATAGAAAATATTTCCTTTAAAAAAACTGACAATGTATTAAAAAATGTAAATAACAGATGTGTTAAAATACAGCAGTTCATTGTCACAAGGCTCTGTGTAAGTACAGATAAAAGAACACTTTTGTGAAACATTCACAAAACTATAAATTATTAACTAAGTTGTCTGCTTTGATTTATAGAAATTGAATCATGCCAAAAAAAGTGTTTGACTTGCAGAAGTGTTAAACCATATATAGTCCGAAAACTTGCTTTGCACAAACACAGTGAACTATATATTATTTTAAAAAAAACTTGTAAAATGGCAGAAATAATTGTCAAGAAAATAGGGATAGGCTTAAAAACCTTGTAATTCATATTTTCTTCCCCTTCTCTAATTTCAAAAAGCTTTGATGTAACAGTCTAGTCATTTGTTGTATTACTATGGTGATGTTGGTAAAAATGTGGAGCTGACTGCATATTTTTGGGCAACTGATGTTATTTTGTATTCTTACATGTATTTATATATGTTTGTATTATTTTTACTAGAATAACTTAAATAATTTGTGCATATAGGTTGACACTAAGGAAAATATACAAGCAGAAACCACAAGTTTTATACATTTTGTTTATTGTATGATATATGTTTTGTGTTGCCAATTGTCCAGATTGTTGTGGATGGTGCATAAACATTTCAGGTTAAACAAGGGTTTCCGTCAAAGAATTTACAAATATTTTTTTTCCTTGTATCTTCAAACCATCAATGATATTTTTCCACATGCTAATCTGATACAGAACTCAAAAAGTATTTGCTGGTACTTAGCCACAAAGGAAAATCTCTACAAAGTCAATTTATAAAGGGTGATATCATTTTTTTACACTTCATTTTTTACTGGTCTTTAACCCTTTATTCCTTGCAACTCATTATTTCTACATTGCTTTTACACAGCTTTTTAGATTTTGCTAAATTCCTTCAGTTTGCTTGAGCTTATAGAGGTCTGGAAATATGTTTTTGGGGGTTTAATGAATGGCAGCTTCACCCTGAACTCTTAAACCCTAAATAATCTTATTATCTAACATTTTAAGTGGGATGGACCGGGACATCAGTTTTCTACACTGTCCTTTACTGTGTTTTTCACAGACATTTAATTTCAGGAGTTGGTGTTTATTCTTTTTAGGATATTTCAGTTTGCTTTTCATAGATTGCTGAATAAATACTCCCCCTCAAAAAACAAATGTAAAATCAGACAGGAAAAATATGCCTGACTTTAAAGGTTCCTTTTAAAATGCTTATAGTTCTCCAAGGTTAAGAGGGTTCAAAAGCACCAAGGGGGGCAGTGTTCGTTTTATTAACCTGGTGCAAGTTCTCTGTGGGGGCATATTTATAAAGAATCTGATAACTAAAGCATTTCTTTTTTGTACAAGTACTTTATTTTGCCCCTGATTTAAAAAGCAGACACCCTCAGGAACCTACCCATTACTTTTTAGAGTTTCATGAGGGCATTAACTCTCAGGTTACTCTAATATAACTGTTTCAACACTTTGTATCAATAGTAAGTAAGTCCCCTCGCTGCTTTCTTCTGTTTCTTGTTGGCCTATCAATATAATGAGCAACCTTCCTGGATAAAAACAAGTTACATGAGGTAGGCGGGGACTACCAGAAAGTATCAGAATTTGCATGTAAGTGTGCTGCGAAAGCCTTAAATGAATGCAAGCCTTAAAATTTTATTGCCTGTGCCAAGACTAGACATTCACGTAGCTACATATTTTTAAGCAGTATGTGAGCTTAAAAACAAGTAAGCCCTGACGTCGCCAGCTCCTGAAGGAATTCATCCTCAAAGATCACAACAAACATTCTAAAGTCAGGTTTCAGTCTGTTTCTAACACCCTTCAAGCACCTGATGTTTGTTTACATCAGAAGGCTGGTAGACGGCCAGTATTCTGGTTTTCATATAAAATAAAGGAACTAACCTGTGATATCAGTGCTTCTGTGAATTGTGAACATTTATTTCTCTACAAAGCCTGCCAAGGGTTTTAGGCTGGGTGAACAAGGGTTGTAGACTGGGTTCATGCTATCATGTTGCATTAAAGCAATGCATCTGCACTGCATCATGCCACAGCACACTGCCATGTGTTACTCGCCATGCTTTACATTCCTGAAAAAAATGCCGTTTTGGCCATGCAGAGGTATGTTAGTGTCCATCTTTGGGCAGCAGAAAAAAAAATACTTTTTGCAGTGAGGCCCCCCTGTCCCTCACTACAAGTAATGGATGGTTAAAATAGATAGAAATAAGGAGTAAATTGTACTTTATTCCTTGCTACGACAGACTTCCTCCCAACGCCACTGGTCTCCCAAAGTAGCTTCTCATTACTTATCCTCCAGTCACAGTCACAACATCATCACTTACAATGCAGGACTAGTAATTGTGAGGACAGTGAGGGCCCAGGATATCTGATTGTGACTAAGAGCTCTAGCTGCTGGGGGAACAAGGCATAAGCTAAGTATTATTTATTATCCCAATTCCCTAGACAAAATTAGCATTGTAATGGGGGGGTTATCTTAAAGCAACACATGTGGCATACCACGCCACGGTGCGTGCGTTAAACAACAGACAAGTGTAAACCCAGCCTTAAAGTACTTTAATTGCTTGTTCAGAATATCTTAATAATTTATTGTGCATAGTCTGGGCACAGGTTCACCTTGAATCCTTATCTTTGTAGCAATTTATAGAAAAAGACGCACCGATGAAATGTGCTGAAAGGAATCGATAAAAACCACCTCCTGTAAAAAAAAAAAAAAAACTTGCAAAAAGCTTAAAATAATAGTGAAAGGTCAGGAAAAAATCATGGAGCTTGAGAACCTGATAGCTAATACATTTCGAATTGCATTGTTGCACATGTATACACTTGTATCACAGAACAAACACGTCACAAAAGCTGTTTTGGACCTTTGGCCCCTATGTGACACCGTGCATAGTACATACTACACTCATACTACACTCATACTACACTCATACTACACTCATACTACACTGGTCAATCAGTGTTTCTGTCATACAAGGATTTCATGTGCTATAATCAGTATATTAGCCTGAATAAAATATTACTTATAAAGCAGCGTTGCCAATAAAATATTACTTATAAAGAAGCACAGTACTACACTACTGCTGTGAGCAGTCGAGTCTTGTTATAGTGATGTGTCCTAGAAAATTTGTAGTTGTCTGTAAATTTGTGTGCAGTGGTCTGTAAGAAATTAATTCTAGGTCAGCAGACCTTATCCAAGGTCAGAGGTGTAATAAAAAGCTATAAAGCCTAGTGGAAAATGCGGTCAACACAGCTAAAGGGACCAGGAGCAAAATGTCATGATGGATCCTCTAATACTTCATACAACTAACTTCAAAAGCTTGTTCAGTCCAGATAGATATTATTCTGCTTTAGTGATCTTCCGGTAAACCTGTTAGGAAAAAAAAGAAGGCTGCTAGTGCTCTCCTTGTTCTGAAAATATCACATGCCTGCTTGTTATGATGAACCTCTGGATTCAATACATACTCATACAAGTAGGTAGATTGGGAAACCCAGTAAGCCAGACAAAAATGCTTATCTGCATACTCATTCTTTTCAGGGACTCGAAGTATTGACCAAGAATACCAGCATAACATTCAGGCAAATAGTATTTGTGATGATGATGTGTTATGAATGGACAAACTGCTTTATTCTGTACTGAAATTAAATATGTATCTTATTAGGGATGAGCAAAATTTTACTTTTTTTAATCTTAAAATGATGTCACAATGATTTTGCTGAAATTTCACAACATTGGGGAAATGCATTTGAGCCAATAGGGAAGGCAAAATCATGGTGGTTTCTGTGGGTTTTAAATGGTTACTGAGGCACCCTGATGACAGTTCCTTTCAGTTTTCTTGAACCTGGGGTCCTTTGTGGATAAAATGGCCCCTCATTAGCCTCATCCTTTTATCTCTTTTTCACAGATAAAAAAATAGAAAGCAAAATAAAAGTAAAATGAAAAATATAAAGCAACATTGCACAATAATTAAATTCACAAAAGTGAAAACCCCACCCCTTAAAAAAAATAAGTCAAAAATAGCTATGATTGTGTGTTCCCACTGCCCCCCCTTGGCCCACACTACGTAACCACAATCAGTACAGCATTTATAGTTATACAAGTTGTGTGGCCTTATGTGTGCATACTGTATATTGGAACAATCCCAGTGTGTCAGATCAAGAACTCAACAAAATACTGCATGTCTTTTTATATTTATATCAGGTAATACATGAATATATGAACTGAGATGTTCTGCGTGCTTGAGTTAATCTGCCTTAACCAGCTTTATCTAGAGTCACAAGGAAACAGTAATTCAATAATTTAATTGTTATTTATGAGAGTTTGTATGAACATTTCCTAACAAATTTAATTGCCATTCCTAGAAGAGAAGCTCAGCTTGATGAAGAAGGTCAATTTTTGGTGAGGATAATATATGATGACTCCAAAACCTATGACCTTGTATCAGCAGCAAGCAAAGTGCTCAGTAAGTAAAAAATATACTCCTGTGAAGCCCTGATAACCGTTTCAGGAAGTTTGAAAGGAAGAACGTGTCATTTAAAAAAAAAAAAGTATTTTTTAGGTCTATTAATATTCAATGCCTTTAATAAACTTGACCTTTGTCCAGCATGTCATTTATATACTAATTTTCTTTCTGCAAGGAAGTGTACACATTAGGGGCTCTGACATTGGCATCTGTCTTGCAGTTTTTTAAGGAAAATGATTTATGTCGGTTTTGTATTAGATATTTTTATTTGCAAAAAATTGAATGGACAAAACTTTATCAGAACGCGGGGGGAAGTTTTGTTAGCGATCGCGGTGCGTTCCAGCAGCTACCGCTCTGGAACTCACCGCTTTAGGTGTGAACAAGGCCTCAAGCACTTTTTACACTTTATAGCTTCCTTAGTTTAACGTCCACCCAGGCTATGATATAATATTTCAAATATTCTTGAACTCTTAAAGTATTTTGACCAGCCTATCCTCACCATTCCAGGCTCTCAAAGACCAGAAAGCAAGGTTAAAATATGGGCTTTGAGCTTTCACACCTGCTTATTTATTGGCTCCTGATAAGCAGTCTTCCTCTACAGAGCTACAGTCATTGACTTGGCTCCAGCCACTGAGTCAATGACCCATCTGCCTGCATTATTTCCTGTTGTTGGTGCTACAGGAAGCAGTGAATGTCCTTAAAGAAAGACAGGAATGAAAGAACATCACATCTGTTTTCACCGCTAATATAAATGAAATGAAGCACTTTGATTCTCAGCTCCGGTCCTTGCGCTTGCATCTAACAGTCAATTAAAATGATTCAATTACTTTCCCTGTGTTGCCTATTACCCCACCTGTTCCGACAGACAGTATCATTATTCCAGAGCAGAAAACAAATTATTTAATACAGTTATAATAAATAAATAGTTACCTATTGGTGAAAGAAAGATCATTAGAAAATATTTGGAAAAAAAAAGTAAATATATCTAACCAATACTTTAACCTACTTTCTTGCAATTTCAAGACAGTACATTAGACCCTAACATACTTTGAGGGGAATTTATCAAAACTGGAGCAGACAAAATCTAGACCAGTTGCCCATGGCAACCAATCAGCTTCTCTCATTAGTTTGTTAAGTTAAGATTTGAAAATTAAAGAAAGAAGCTGATTGGTTGTCAGCTGCTGCAGATTTTGTCTGCTCCAGTTTTGATAAATTCCCCCCTATATGTTTGTATTGTTCCCTTTTACTGCTTCCTGATAATTGACATCACATTTCATGCAAGGGTAGACCCAATGAGGAGAGACCCCATTGCATCATGGCTTTACCCTTCTGGTTATGGACACATCCTAAAAATACACTGTGAACACTTTAACTTTTCAAATAGCTGCAGTTTGGATTGGCATGAAATTATAGCAGCTAGGGTGGGTTGGTGAAAACAAAAAAACTGAACCTAGCCTCAGATACTGTACATTTTTATGTTTGGTGTAAGCATGCTGAGTAATAAGTAAATGTAATGCTCTCACATAGATCACATTACTCCCCCAAACAATGCTTTGATCTTCTTTGCTCTCTAGAAGGGGTGTGCCATCTTTATTAATGCATTATCCAAGGTCAGCATCCACTTGCTGGAATGAGATGCTTGCTTGGAGAGGGCACAGTCATGTTAATACTGGGGCCTGTGCAGTTTTTGGTTTTGTTTACTAAAGTCTGACGCAGATCAGTCTTCTGCTGCAACCTCTCGCCTTGTGACCTGCTACAAAGTTACAGGGATGCAGTCTGATCAGTGTGGTAGAGTAGCCTGAAGAAATGCTTCCTCCTGCCTGCAGCACACTTATGACATTGTATCCACTTAGGTAAAATCACTAACTGGAGTCCAAGGGTGGCTTTTAAATGACAGCTGGAGCATTTTTGAAAAATGATGCTGCTGTATATTGCGACATGTCAAAAATGTATTCATGGACACTTTTAACATTATAGAAAGGTCCACTTTAAGAGATAGAGAAATATAAATAAGAAATTAGTTCCTAATAGACTGGATAAATATATTCCAAGAACAGTGCTACATACTTGGAAAACGAAAGTATACTTCAGCCAAGTTCAACATTCCCCCATTCCCTCAAACCTCTGTAAACCCGTCATGGAAATACAGTATATTGTTACATTCATAATTACTTGGATTATGATTTCAGTGATGAGCGAGCTCTGTGCAGACAATGTACATCAGTCAGCGTTCTACTTCCGGGTTGAATAGAAATCATTTACAGGTCAGCCAACCTGTTTCCACTCATGCTTCCCACTTAACTCTAAGACTACACTAGGCTTATATATAAAACTGACCACATTGTGACCAATCCAGTTTGATCTGTTTTTTTTTATGGAAAAACAAACATTAAACAAGGAACCTGAGAGGTCATTATTGACAAGCTCTTTGGTTTTGTGGACAGCTTTCTTTTGTACTTGTGCTTAAAGATCATCCTTATGTTTATTCAGTAAAACAGTACAGAGCACTTTAACCCATAGAACGAATCAGATTCAAGATTTCAGTTAACCTGGCTAGAGCTGATTGGTTGATTGACTCTTGCCAGTATTATGACTTTTATTTTAGATACAAATAGCACTACCCAAAATATCAGCCCAGATGATCTGAGACCTCACCCCAAATTAATCCATTGAGCAAAAAGTTCACAACCTAGGTTGTAGTGGGGTAAAAACGAACCACAAATATAAAAAATAAACGAAGAGAAACTCAATGATCATGGTTACATTGTAGATATCAGGACTCTGGACTGTCTTAGTGTGCATCTGTGGTTCCGCTGCATGAAAACTCTGGGGAGGGCTGGATAAATAACCTGTCTTCCTGAAAGTAGGTCTCTGGGCGATCCCGGAGTCTGGGGTAAGTGGCTGCATAGTTAAGTCATATTAAGGAGGAAACATGTTCAGTTGGACAGAATATACAGAATTGCAAAGTATGGTTTATTGATGTACATACCGATAAACAATGAATTATCTATTCATAACTAGATTCTTGCCGGAAATAAAACTCCCTGAGGAAGCTAACAAGCGAAACGCGTTGGATGAATTGGAGCAGTAAATTACTGCACATGAATTATGTGACAAAATGAGATGTATATATTATGAATGACAATATGAATACATGAATTGTGAGAATTAGGCAAGAATTTAGGAACTGAGAATCATGCTTATCAACAATATTAATTTTAACCTTGTTATGTAATGATTTTAATGAATTTTAATAAATGTATATCAATCGATAACCCTCTGACGCCTCCTTAAAACCCCACTACAACCTAGGTTGTGGACTTTTTGCTCAATGACTTTTATTTTGTGTGAACAGGCATGTATGGGCTGGTCTGTGCTTAAAGTTCTGTGGCAGTCATTTAATGAATTCTGTGGTGTTCCTATGTCTCCAAGGTCTGCCTATTACATTGTGGGCAATCTTCTTACTGAAAGTGGCACTTGCACTCAAAAGCAAGGTTCACTTATTACATCATGGGGAATCTTCATACCAAAATTATCTGTTGTACTAAAAAGCAAGGTCCACTTATTACATCATGGGGAATCTTCATACTAAAAATGGACCTTACAATAAAAAGCAAGGCCCGCTTATTACATCATGTGGAATCTTCATACTGAAAGTGGCCCTTTCACTAAAAATCAAGGTCCACTTATTACATCATGCATCTCATCCCGATGGCAAAATGCCACATGATAGCTGTAAAAAAAATTCACCTTTTACACTGGAGAGGGTGGTGTCACAATGCAAGAGATTTGGGATCCTCAGCAGTAAGGAGATCATCGGAAAAGTTTCACAGCAAAATAACATTTCAGAAACACGAGTATCCTCAGCCTCAGCTGAAACTGATAACTTTAGGTGAATGTTGGATATTGAATCTGATCTGTTCTCATGTTTGTCACTAAAATGCCTTTCTGCATTGATCAAACATTGACGCAAACCAACAGTTCTGCAGTTATAAAATATACATCAATGTAAAGCCCTCATCCACACCTGAGCGTTTTGTCATGCTTTTTCTGAATATTCTTCATGAAGATTCTCATTATTTTCAGTGATGTGTTGTTTGTCGCTCAAAAAATTACATGAGCTGTGAGTGGGCAGAATCGAGTGTTTTTGGCCCCATAAACGTCAGTCCCCTCCTTCTAGTAACTAGCTTTCTATTGACTAAAACAACAATGCTCAAGCCTTAAAGAAGAACTCCGGGGGGAAATTATTGTTATTAACCCTTGCAGTGGGGCTACACCGGCGCTGCAAGGGTTAAGTGCTTGTTTTGGTCTAGGGAGGAAACTAACAAACTTATACTCATCCATTCCTTGGAGGCAGCTTGCTCTTAGACTGGTCCCTAGAGCATCTTTCCTCCTCAGCTGCAGTGGTCTAAGGTCTCCTAAATCATCACGTCCAATACACTATGCATTGGACAAGAGGATGCCGAGGGACATTCTATCACATCGGAGTTCTGCTGTAAAAAATGTCTGAAAAACATGTAGAAAAAGCACCTAAAAAACACTCATGCTCAAGTGTGAATGGTGGCTAAACATTCGAAGCCTAATTTACTACAAGAGTAATTTTTATACTAGCACGTCATTTCACTTGCTTTTTTCAAACAGTTGGTGGAGGTGAAAAAATAATCTTAATTGTTATATAAAAGCATACGTTGAGCTGGGAATGGCTTAAAGCAAAGTCATGCTGAGAGATTTTCTAGAAATAATAAAATAACACGACCTTTCATGAGAGATGGCTTTTATGCTTCGAATTTTAATAACATTGCCTACAACATTGTACTAACAATCTAGCGGTGCGCCTGACTACAGATGTATTCTTTGTTATGGCAACCGGTAGAATGTTCCGTCATCTGTAAACCGTAGCCCTGCCCTCTTGTCACTTTATATCATTTGTTCTTGTTCTGCGTGAGCTGCGTTTTTTTTTCTTATTGGTTCACTATTCATGACAGCAATTGTGAAAAATAATGAACTCCTCGACTGCTATTGTATTTAGCCTTTTAAATCATTGAAATGTGTATTGTCCCATATAAAGTGGATATTATGCTAATTATCCTTTTTTTCCCCCCTTGAAATGTCATACAGATCTCAATGCTGGGGATATTCTCCAAATGTTTGGAAATATGTTTTTCGTTTTTTGCCAAGAATCTGGCTATGACACAATCCTGCGTGTCCTTGGATCCAATGTCAGAGAATTTTTGCAGGTCAGAAAACAGTTCCTGTTTTGTAAATCACTCATTGTCATTGCCAACAAGCAAACATATCAGGAAACTTCATGGAACGTTCTAAGTTAATTGGCGACAGTTATAGCAGCGTTTTAATTCTATATTTATATTGACCACAAAAGGAAATTAATTGCCAAGCTATCTTATTTCTTAAGCATTATGAAAATCAATAGCAGTTATGAAAAAACAAATTGATAGTCAGTGAATCTCAGTTCAGTTAAGAGGTCTCTTGTGTGTTTTTAGGGCTTGTCTGAATCAAAAAATCAATTATGCTGAAATGCGAGTGCAAATGAATTGAGTGATATGGAAGTCTTTTAAAAGGACTGTGGTTAGAACGCTCTATGGAATGATATTTAGCAGACCACAGCTTGTTTGAAGAAGAACAGTCTTTCAAATAGTGACTTAAAGCTAAACTGCAGGTAAACAGCTAAATGTAGGGGTAAAATACATACATAGGAGCTGTTTACCTGTGAAAAGATTTGTATTTCAGTCCCTTCAGTTTTGAGATTTACACAGCACCGTTACACAGCACAACCCTGTCTGGCAAGGCAGAAGACCTATTTATTTTCTGCTGCAGTTCCATAATACTTTCAGGTCTAGTCCCTCCCCCTGTCTGTGACTGGATAGCAAAAGGAGAAGCAGCAGACTGATGAGCTTATCTCTCTACCACTCTGCTATCTTCTCCTATCATCATATTCCTTGACGAAAAAATTTGCATACCTGATTTACATCTAGTCCTGCCCCTCCCTGTTCCAGTTTGAGTGCTCCTATATAAGTCATGGCAACCTTGGCACTCCAGCTGTGGTGACACTACAAATCCCATTATGCCTCTGTCTCTGGGAGTCATGGCCAAGGCTGTCAGATTCTTGCATTGCCTCATGGGACTTGTAGTCGCACAACAGCTGAAGTGCCAAGGTTGTCTACCGCTGGTATAGGGGAATGCAGTAGGCTGATACATCAACCTCAGGTACTTAAACATTTTGCAATAAAAAAATACATGTAACAATGTACTAGTGAAGACAGAGGAGCATTGATTTATGTTTGCCTGGCATTTCAGTGACACTAAACTCAGTTGCTAAATCTTAGAAATGCATTCAAGTACTTTAGCTATTAACAAAATGTATCTTATTTGTGTATCATTCAGCTGTAGATCCTCAAATCATCTCTGAATTGGTGCTGACTCTGTCCTTCCTTCTGGAGGGGGGCTACTTTTGTTCCCCATGGTCCATGTGTGTGTTTGAGGGCTTGTTCACACCGAAAGCAGGTGTGTTTCAGAACGGGGAACGCACCCGCATTTGGTGTGAACAATATTTACAACCCCCCCCCCAGGGCCCCACCATTATATACTTACCCTTTTTGTGACAAAAGCAGCTTCCTGCTGTGTTTACTGCAGTACAGAAATTAGGAGTTAGTAGTAAGGCCTTATTTATGTTTATGGGAAGTGACTATGCAGGTGCGCCCATCGCTGAAGGAAATTTCTGCACCTGGGATGTAAACACTGCAGGAAAAGGTATGGAAAGGTAGGTATGCACCGAGGGTGCGGGTCTTAGGTTAGATTAGCTTAGGGGGCTATGGAGGGGGAGTTTACTTTTTTGTAAAAACAAAATGTAGTTGTGCTAAAAATAAAGAAAAAAATATTGGGGGGTAGGGGGTATAAATGAACCCCAGAACCTTAAAGGGAAAGAATAGGGAAGAGTTAATGACTGGATAACTTGAAATTAAAGTTGTATAATGATAGTGATAGGCAGTGCTGTATAGATTATTTGAGAGCAATTGGCGAACAATAGTAATTTTGAATAAAATTGAGTACTTAGTAGATGTAAATAAGTTAAATGTATAGATGTAAATCATTTGAATTTAACCTTATGGAATATCGTATATCACACATCCCAAAACCTGCTCTGAAATCCTCAACTGAAGGAAATAAAAACAATTTACATTTTATTGTGCGTTAAATCACTTTACAGCAAAATCTAAATATTTGACATTTTTAAAAGTTTTTATTTTTCTAAATGTTTATATATTTTAAGTTCTTTAAAAAAAAGTCCATAGTTGAGGGCATTATTTATTGTGCTTGATAAAGACACCTCATGGCACAACAAGCATATGCTGGTTCTTTCTAAAGAATATTAATTTACAGCAGTAAATATTATTGTTCTTCAATCTATGATGAAAATTTGTATTTAAGTATTAAGAATACCGTATATACTCGAGTATAAGCCGTCCCGAATATAAGCCGAGGTACCTACTTTGACCCCAAAAAACTGGGAAAAAGTATTGACCCGAATATAAGCCGAGGTACCTACTTTGACCCCAAAAAACTGGGAAAAAGTATTGACCCGAATATAAGCCGAGGTACCTACTTTGACCCCAAAAAACTGGGAAAAAGTATTGACCCGAATATAAGCCGAGGTACCTACTTTGACCCCAAAAAACTGGGAAAAAGTATTGACCCGAATATAAGCCGAGGTACCTACTTTGACCCCAAAAAACTGGGAAAAAGTATTGACCCGAATATAAGCCGAGGTACCTACTTTGACCCCAAAAAACTGGGAAAAAGTATTGACCCGAATATAAGCCGAGGTACCTACTTTGACCCCAAAAAACTGGGAAAAAGTATTGACCCGAATATAAGCCGAGGGTGGGAAATGAGGCAGCTACTGGTAGATAGATACCAATAAAATTACATTAATATTTATTTAAAAGAAAAATAACCTAGCTCTGTAAGTGGAAAAGGGGGTGCAGGGCTTCATATCATGTACTACGGATCATTTAACCCATTCATGTTAGCAGAGGATCATTGTAAATGTATTGTCTGCACTGTATTAGCAGTATATACTCTATATAGAGTATATACTGCTAATACAGTGCAGACAATACATTTACAATGATCCTCTGCTAACATGAATGGGTTAAATGATCCGTAGTACATGATATGTAGCCCTGCACCCCCTTTTCCACTTACAGAGCTAGGTTATTTTTCTTTTAAATAAATATTAATGTAATTTTATTGGTATCTATCTACCAGTAGCTGCCTCATTTCCCACCCTCGGCTTATATTCGGGACGGCTTATACTCGAGTATATACGGTAATAATAAAAAATAAGTCAATCCCCAATGCTGATGTTCCCCAGTACTCCTCTCTGAAGTAAAAAAAAGAGGTTGCCTCCCACAACCCCATTATTAACAACAAACCCCCATTGTTTGCAGTGTTAAACAGCTTGTAGTCTCCATATTATTATTATTATACAAGATTTATATAGCGCCAACAGTTTGTGCAGCGCTTTACAATATAGGGAAGACATTACAATCACAATACAAATCAAGACAAGATGGTAAGAAGGGCCCTGCCCCTGAGGGCTTACAATCTAAAAGAATAATCCCGTCTATACCACAATACCAAATGTCACCTGCAGGTAGAAATTGAGAGTGGTGGGAAGAGAGGTCACTTAGTTAATACCTAAAGGGATCACATATGAGATCTCTAATTTAATTGGAAAAATCTATCTAGGTGGGATATTTGCTGATAAAAAAAGCACTTACTAATATTTACTTTCTTTTTACAGAACTTAGATGCACTACATGATCATCTAGGTACCATTTATCCAGGTATGCGTGCTCCATCATTTAGGTGCACCGATGCAGAGAAAGGAAAAGGTCTTATTTTGCATTACTATTCGGAAAGAGAAGGACTGCAGGATATTGTTATTGGCATTATTAAAACGGTGGCACAGCAGATCCATGGCACTGAAATAGATATGAAGGTAAGTGCTTGAAGCACTTGTATCATTTCTTATTAGTTTATTCTTCTCATGGGTTTAATCACCTACAGGACAAGTCTCTGAATAAATCTTGGAAGGTTTTGACAGCATTGGTGACATGGAGCCTTATTTATAAAAAGCAAGCTACCAAAAAAAGTATTGTTTGCCAAAACAACGGATCAGCTTCTAATTGTCATATTAGCAGCGCGGAGTTGTAAAATGAAACAAGGTTGTTTAACATGTCCCAGGAGCACATATTTTGACCTAACAAATAGGTGCCTAAATAACAAAAGTTTGCTTGAAGTGTTTGCTAGTCTTGCATGTTCACTTTTATAGTTTCCAGTGCAATATCAATGCAAATCACAGCAAAACAGAAATAAAGTTCTCCAAACACTATCCATCTTAGGTCCTACCTTTTATGTTACGGTGGCTGCACGCATATGCATATGATTATAAATCAAGAAATCAAGCAATTACTGTGACTAAACTGATCAAATTGAATAAATATCACAAGCCAAAGTAACCCCCCCCCCACACACACACTCACACACACACACTCACACACACTGGATTGATTTACTGTATTGTCAATTAACTTTGCCTTGGCCGATTTGCTGTGGATAGTTCATTTATACCTGATACATTGTATGTTTTATAATTTATATTTTCAATCAATTACAAAGAGCGTAACAACACCGTCTGTGATGCATTGTTCCGTATTTTAATTGATGATGATTTGCTTGTTTGTGATCACTCAGAACTAAATCGATCACAAATTGCTATGTGCATGACTGCCTTTAGAAATGGCTCTCTTAATCTGCTATAAAAACTAGTGCTAGTGTTATAGCACTTTTAGCCTTTGGTAACATTATTAATAAATCCAGATAGGTGGTTGTGAGTAAAAGTACCTCTTTACTTTATTCTGGTTTTTATAACTATGTCTAAATGCTTTAAGTAAGGCTGAGTGACAGACAAGCGTTTCTTTATTATTTATTTTTAAGTTATATCCTATCTGAATATACTGTATGTATACAGTAGAAGGTATGAACTAGTTACAATATTTCTTAGTTTTTGTGAAGAGTAACATGTAACAGTTTTTAATTATTTTGATAAGGTTATTCAGCAAAGAAATGAGGATTTTGACCACACTCAGTTCTTGATTGAAGAGAAGGACTCTAAGGAGGAGGACTTATATGAGGATCTGGACAGGTTTGAAGAAAATGGGACCCAGGAATCACGCATTAGCCCCTACACATTCTGCAAGGCTTTCCCATTCCATATAATGTTTGACAGAGACCTTGTTGTTACACAGTGTGGAAATGCCATCTACAGGGTCTTGCCACAGGTAACTATTTTATTTGCATAGCACTATTGATTTTCAGCAAATAAGCACATAAAGAATGAAAGCAATTGAACTTTCCTTTAGCTGGTAGTCATAAACACAACTACGCTCATTTGAGTAAACATACACCCAAGGCACTATCCGGCCGAGAAGGGCAACAATAAACTATGGGCTAACAATATCCAATAGTCGTCTCGTCCTTTTGTCTACAAAAGTGTGCCTTTTCCCATAAACAGGCTGATATTTTTTATATCAGTAAAATTACCTTTCTTTTTTTACAACCAAGTCATATTATTTAAAATTATTTAAAATTCAAAGTACATACATTTCCAACATGCTATACAATTCATAACATAACAGTTGATTTAAAGTCCAGTTGAAGCCAATGTTTATTTTTTTTTATTTTAGACGGAGTGGAGAAGGATAAGAATGCCTGTCAGGTTTTTTGTCTGTTTCCCCATTGGGAAGATGGAGGAAGTAAAGAGAAATGGGGCACAAATGTAAAAAAAAAAAATTAACTGGGGCTACAACCCTCCTTTACTCTACCCAAACCAAAAAAAATTAAGTTTTGGCTTCAGCTCTACTTTAAATTACATATAATACATCCAAGGTCATATTTGCTTTATGTTTATCTTCCAAACTTAATATGTCCTGCAGCAGAGTCGTCACTTCCGCCTCAGGGCCCTTTTTAGCCTGGTAGCATGAGATATAAGAACTCCTCTTATGACGCATTTAAGCGTTTCCCACTTAATCGGGAGTGCCGTGGTGTCATGTTCATGATTCAATTTAAAGGCAGAAATAGCTTCCTTTATAGCCAACACCGTCTCCTCATCTTTAAGTAATGTTTTGTTTAATTTCCATGTGAACCCTCGAGAAGATTGCTCCGCAAATTGTATTTCCAGGTTATATCCATTATATTCGTATATTCCAAATATTTCATATCTAAGTTATCAAGAAAAAAAAAAGAAAAAAAGGGAGAATAGGAAAATAAAAAATAAAAAAAATAAAACTTCAGCTCTACTTTAATGAAGGCCACCATGGAAGAATCAACAATTTATCACAACTGATGCAAGATGTTTGCTTCATCAGGAAACTCACCTGTTAGCTAGTTTAAGTCAGTGAAAAAAAAAATCAATGATGATGCACAAAGGGTAGCAGTCCATAGTTGCTAACCAGACTGTACTTTTCAGTAGTCAGAACAGTTAAAAGAAAATCAGATGGTTTACTTTGTATAAATACTTTTGTCTTTGTTGACTTATTGAATGAGAAGCAAGGGTGAACTAGAAACCTTTGGTCTGGGACAAACACAACCACAACCTTTTCATGGTAGGGACATATTAATGTGGCTAAGGAAGGTGTACTCTTCCGAATTGTGCCAAAGTGCCTCATTGACTGCAGGCCATGGTGAAATATGGCTGTTCCTAAAGGTGATAGCTCATTGTGACACAGTTTTTCACATTCAGTTTTATAACATCCCAGAGCCAAAAACAAGTCTAGAAGACTTTCTTACATCAGACTCTAGGATTGCAGGTATGAATGAGGAGCATACAGCTATAGAATGGCAAACATGTTTTACTGATGGCTCTGAGTAATGACTAATGAAATGTCTCCACTCAGAGCCCTTTAGCCCAACGTATCTTATTAGTACTGGCCTGGCCCTCCAGGCCCATCTTGCCCTGATAAGGAGTATTGTCTAATGGAAATGGTGGAAGCCTTGTCAGTAGCAACACATACAATTATTCAAGATACATTGTGGTAACAATCCAGATGCAGATCTGCTGTTTGTTAGTGTTTTTATTACTGTTATCAGTATACCTGTGAGGACATGCAGAATCTATAACAGAAATAATATAACCTACAAATGCTTGAAACAGTTGTTCTGAAAACAGTGGCCTCTTGTAAAAATTGTATGATTCCAGAAATAGAAATACCATACTAATATACCTATTTAATCTAATTTCCTCTTGTGTGTTCCATAATTTTACAGCTCCAGCCCGGAAACTGTAACCTGCTGTCTGTGTTCACTTTGGTACGACCACATATTGACATTAGCTTTCATGGTATCCTGTCTCACATCAACACTGTATTTGTCCTGCGGAGTAAGGTAATTGATTTTTAATAAATCTATGGAATGATATTCTGTAAAGAGATAAGCATTCTGTAGATAAACAACACAAGAACGTGAAAAGAGCACTGAGAGATGTGGCATTTAAGACAGCAAGATTGTAGCAAATGTTAAACGTCTTTTGTGGAGAATTTCAAAGCTAGTTGACAACCTGACAATGTGTTTTCAGTCCTGTTTATAGCTAACTATCACTTTTTTGAGACAGAACAACCATAACGAAACAAACCATATATTCTGCCATCTTCAGATCAAAGCTTTGAACATTGACTTTTTACCCCTTTTATATCCCAGACCTGCTGGTATTTAGTGCATTTAAAGCAAACATTTTATTAAATAAAAGGGATTATGTTGTGTAACATGCAGTATCTTATAACAGCTTTGATTTAGTCAAATCAAGTCAATACAAACTGAACCGAAGGGCTCCGGCGGCCGAAGAGAGCCGAAGGATTAGCTGAAGCTACGGCTGGATCCTACGGGCCCTTTAGTGAATAACCCCCTAAAACATTTTTTATTTTGTTTTGCTATCTGTGTCCTATTAGGGAAAGATGTAACTTCCTGTCCTGGAAACAAAGTAGGAAATGAGAGAAAAGTAAGGGGGACATTAAATTTAAAGTAGAAAGCAAAGCAACATATTAAAAACTTCCCAAATTACATTGTTAGCATTGGTTTTACCTATGTTTATGTGTAAACGATAAAAAAAGGCATTCAAATCTTTTATTTCTAGTTTTCTTTATGGTCACGTGACAATGTTATCAGGGCCAAAGGTGGGCCAACTTAGTAATCGAAATTTCTATTTTTCTGAAGTGGCATCCTCTTTAATGATAACGTTTTGGGGTTTTGAGAGCAGGCATGCCTAACAATGCTGTCATTGAGTCCCGTAATATGTAATATCTCCAAAAGGTAACATAATAAAAGTTTTATTAAATAATAAGCAAAAAAACAAGATAAGATATACAAAACACAAGAAAGCAAAAGGAACAGTCACTATAGGTGAACACCATATTCCCCATTTCCATAGCCCCATATTAGTAAGTGGCACATTCAATACTCAAGACTCTATATTAATATGTCCTCATGGTAACGAAGAAACCTACATCATACAAAGATACGGTAAGAACAAAATGTATTCCAGGATAAACAACCTATTTTTGAACGGGGGAATAGTGGAGGTCGTCCTGTAGCGTGCCCCCTAATATAGGGGAGGCAGTGGAGAAGAAAGAAATATGGTAAGAGAGATATAAAACGAGAGGCAATATTGCTCTATACACAACACACTTCTGCAAAATCATCCAGATGAATGGCTCAGGTCAGTCTCTATAGAGTGTAAAAACAAACTTTAGAATATTCAAATAACTGTTTAATTAATAAGGAAGCAAACAGATTTGTGATGATGTGTTAAGTGGCATAATTCTATAGCACCCAATAAAATTGCCCCGAGAATCCATAGCCCTGAGCATCCAAAATCCACATAGAAAGTCCTATGGCAGTGGAAAGCGTATTGATGGTATTATGCACCTCATAACAACTGACTAGATTTTCCTTTTCAGCAGTGTAGAGCAGTCAGAACAGTTACAGATATTTGTTGATATGGGTATTGTGGATTACTACACTTTGCATAGTCATGTGTGCCTTTAAAAATAAGCCTCTATATCAGTGAGCAAATATTACTGTCAAGATTTAACTAGGTCTGTGTGAATTTTTCTCATACCTACATGAGTGTCCAAAAAGCTCTATCTATATGTAATTCTAACACTCCTGCAGTTTGCATCAAGTTCTACTATATTTTCAGTATATTTCCTTTTAAGGCTATGTTTATCCAGGCTTCATGTCTCAGAGGGGAAAAAAATGGAAAATACAATTTTAAAATATACAGTGAGATTTTATTTGTAATACATAGGATCATAGCAACTCATTATGCCAAGTAACGACTGAAGTGGAATGTTTATACTCTGCATAGTGCCAAGCCAGCCTAATGAGGTGTCCCTTCCTTTTAATGTGATGGCCGAGCATTTTATTGCTGGCTTTCCTTTAATATCAAGAAAAAGGATGTAAAATGATTTTACTAATTCGAATAGCTTGGATTGTGACTGTTACGTTGGTCCTTTTATTTATAGTTCAATTGTCTGTAGACTAATCGTTTGTTTTAGATCATTATACTTCTAGTGCCATTATGTCATATTTCTATGTTTCTTTTTTTATAGCATTAACTTATAGTAAAGTTCAGACTACAGTAACAGTGGAGTTATTGAAGAAATGTGGGCAGGGGTCCAGAAAATACAAGGCTTGGTATACCTATAAATAAACATAGAGAGAGTAGAGAACAATAGACTGAAATTTAGAAAGCGACTAGGGGTAAAATAAGTTTAGCTATACATGTAGCTGTAGTTAGTCACATTAAACTGGACTTGTTCTATAATGTTGAAGATGTTTCATAGCTTCTCCAAGCCACTTCTTTAGTTCTAATGAGTGTCAGGAAGATACCCCAGCATTTATATCCACACAGGTAGCCAATATTCCACTAAGGGTACTAGTTCTGGTGACCCTGCTGCACACCGGGCTCATTTCATGTTGTGGCTCTCAGACAGGAAGTGAAAGAAAATCTCCCCAATGGGACACAGATGGCAAAAAAAGCTGACAGGGATTATAACCCTCCCTAACTCCCTTACCCGTTCTACTTTAACTTATCAAAACCAAGAATATCTGTGATGTATTTCACTATTATCACATCAGTTGACTACAGCAGTCACTTACCATTGGTTATTACACAATATAAATCTTGTTTTGCTATGCTAAAAGAGAACTATAGCTAAACTTTTTTTCCAGCTATGGTTCTTTTTTGGGTCACTGGAGTACATTTACTAATGTACTCCTATGACCCAAAGTCAGCATATGGAGGGCTACTTCCCACAATATGCTGACATGACAGAGCTGCGCTGCAGCAGGGAAAGATCCCAGCAATATTGTTGGGATCCACCCCACTGCCTGATTGACAGCTGGCTCTGCCTTTCTAGTGCCAGAGCCAGCTGTGCCCACCCTTCCCCTGTCTATCCTGCCAATAATAAGCAACAGAGAGAGAGGAGGGGGGATCCCTGTGGGTAGCGGTGGCTGACAGTCTCTGCATTCTGCAGGGTGAAGCCAACAGCTGATCGATCAGCGGTTCATGATCTCTCAGTTCTCAAGCTATAGATTAGACGTGTCACAGCTGCAGTGTCACACAATGGCTCAAACTATTGGGCATAGTATATGTTACTCTCCCAATAGTTCTCCTTTAAAGCAAGCCTTAGTGTTTACTAACACCTACAGTATAGATAAATGTGTCTGGCAGTGTACCCAGGCATAATGAAGAGAAGTATGTCCTATTGCTTTACATGTATATTCTTCTTAGGATAGCTTTCTAGTTCAACCTACTTTAGTTAGGTAACTGGTACATTTCCTTAGATTAGGTCTCCAGTACTTTCTACTTAGGTTATGTTTTCAGTACATTCTCCATAGATTAGGTTCCAAATACACTTATGCTAATATAGGTTAACAGGTTACAGGTACAATCCAAATAAGTTGGGTTACCATTACCTACTCCTTAAGTTGGGTTGCTGATAGATTCTCTTTAGGTTAGGTTACTGGTTTAGTCTCCTTTAAGTTGGGTCATTGGTGCATTCTCCTTAGGATAGCTTTCCGGTAAATCCTCCTCCGGTTATGTTACTGGTACATCTTCTTTGGTTAGGTTACTCTGTACATTGTCCTTTGGTAAGCTTTCTAGTACATCCTGCTTAGGTTAGCACCACATCTCATTAGGTTACTGGGATATGTTTCTTAGGCTAAGTTACTGGTACATTCTCCTTAGGTTAGATATCTGGTGCATTTTCCTTTCGTTAGGTTGCCAGTACATTCTCCTTAGTTTAGAATATAAATAAATTATCCTCGTTTAGATTTCTGGTACGTTCTCCTTAGGTCAGTTTGCTGGTACATTCTCCTTAGGTTATGTTACCAGTACATTCTCCTTAAGTCAGTTTGCCAGTACTTTCTTCTTAGGTTAGGTTATCAGTACATTCTCCTGAGGCAAGGTTGTGGTAAATTGTCCTTAGGTTAGGTTACCATTGTATTCTCCTTAGGTTAGATTTCTGGTATATCCTCCTCAAGTTTGGTCGTTAGTACATACCCTAACGTGCTGGAGCACTCTTCACAGTCTCGAAAGTCTTGGAACAAAGTAGAACATGTGCAGAAAAGTGCCTATGTATACTAATGTAACTCATATTATGATATTTAATTTAAGGAAGGTTTACTTGATGTGGAAAAGTCAGAGACAGAGGATGAACTGACTGTCAATGAAATTAGTTGTCTTCGGCTGAAAGGGCAGATGATCTACTTGCCTGAAGCTGACAACATTCTCTTCCTCTGCTCTCCAAGGTAATCTGTCATGTTTGTCAAATATCTCTGAGCACACTTTAGAGCAGATTTATAGAAAATATGAAAAGCTCTTACTATATTTTATCCATCATAATCCATCATTTTATCCATCATAAATCATTAATTTTACATGGCACTGTGCAGACACGCCACATTTTTATTCAGTATTAATATCCATCAAAGATTGGGTTATGCTCAGACTTTTTTTGTTGATAGTGTACTAATAGTTATATTGGTACAGTATATTATACAATATAATATCCACTAGTAGAGGACCTTGGTCTGAGCACTCAGAGCTGGAGTGGAGTCAGAGTAAACTGTTTTCTGTTTGTTTGATAGAAATATTGCACAAGAAGCAGCAGCAGAACAACTGTACTTTTTAATGTCTGTTTATAGAGGGGTTGATGAATAAAACCTGGAGAAATAGCAAAAACAGCTGATAGATTCCTTGTGCTATATATAACAAGGGCTTGTCTAAATCCAACCAACTCTGCATATATAATGGTGCACGCAATGGTAATATAAAAGTAGGATTTTCAAGAAAGTGTTATTTTTTTGGACAGGAAGTCATATACCAATCCATCCCAGTTTACTCTATCACAAGCAGTAAAAACGGGGTTAATTTTAAAGTGATTTCTAATATGTCCTTTTAAATCCATAACAGAGAGTCCCTGTCATAATTAATGATACATGCATTCTGTATTCTCATGAATATGTATTTTTATTATGTATTCTACTACATGACAGGGGGGTCACCAACTGTGCTGTTTCCATTCACCCCATGGTGGCATCAGTGAATGCTCCAACATCTAAACCATTAAAGTAAACCCTTCCTAAGAGCAAAATCAGATCTGCCAATGTTCATCTTCTAAAAATGCTGGTGATCTGGTTGCTAACCCTCTCACTTCAGCACTTCCTGAGTCATTGGTCTGGAAGAAATACACTTACCAGGACTATTAGTGTCAAATCATATAAACAGGAGAGTCAGCATAACAGCGAGACAACTAGGATTTGCAAAATGAGAAGCCAGTAATCGCAGCCATGTTTTTTAAGGAAAGGTCTTTTTTTAGCTGTAACGTAGGTGTCTAGTCACATGATATTGCTATGGTTTAGCATTAATCCTAAATGTAAAATGAACTGCTAAGCGAAAAGTATTGTATTTATGCTGACTGAGGTATACATTTTTGTACCTATTACTCATTAAAAGATGCATTTTCAAAATGTCATATGTATATCCAGCTCTGTTAGGCAGGTATCAATATACACAGCTGCCTAGTCGATAGCTGGCCTTCTTCCTCTTAATCCCACACTTTTTTATTGGCCAAGGAGGGCACCCATCTAATTTGGCAGCCAATAGGAAGATTTAGGAGAAGTAGTGGGGGGCCAGTTATCATCCAGAAAGTTGTGTGGTCAGTAACTGCTTACTAGTCCACTGGGGCTTTGGGGATCCCTTGACACTCTAAAGAAAATCTAAGCTATACCTGGGGCTAGCTTACAAAGTAATGTGAGACTGTAGGTTAATTTTAAAACATGATCGCTTACAAGGTAAGGGGAGCCTATAGGTTCCCTTTAAAACATGAGGTATACTGTATGCCAGCCAAACAATTAGCATTTCAAGGTGAAATTGTTAACATATTTCAGGTGTCCTTTAAAGCTGCTCTATACCAGCTATAAAGAAACCTAAACTGAAAAACACATATCCTTTTGGGTCTACTAAATTAAGAAATACTTTGATTTTACTTGTGAGTGCTCATGAGTCAGTGGTGCAATGTAGCACGTACGAGCAAACTGTGATTTGTACGGCAATCTTTTTTTAAAAGGTACATATTTTAAAGTATATTATATATAGAGCCATGAATATTTTCTGAAATACCAACATTTATAATTAGTTATCAATGTATTCATTGTTTACAGTGTAATGAACTTGGATGACTTGACCAGAAGAGGTCTGTACCTCAGTGACATCCCTCTCCATGATGCCACCCGTGACCTGGTACTGCTCGGGGAGCAGTTCAGAGAGGAGTATAAACTGACTCAAGAACTTGAAATTCTGACTGATCGTCTGCAGCACACTTTAAGAGCTTTAGAAGATGAGAAGAAAAAGACTGATACGTGAGAAATGTTTCACCATTTTATGGTTATGCCATTGATAAATAATGAGTGCCAATAACCTTCTTCTGACCACTTCACACTGGACTTTTATTTGCCTTTCTGTGTGCACATAAGTCTCCACAAAGTATAGCCAGGATCCTCTTTTCATCCTTGTCCTTTGACGGATACATGAAGTTTTTAACCTTCCGGTTGTACTGCACCTACAGGTGGATTGGACGCTGGCAAAAAAAAAAACTGTGCCAGCCCAGGACAACCCCTCCTACTACCAGCATGCCTCAGTTTTTTGCTATTGCCCTAGGAGGAAGAACATCTTTTCTTCAGCTCTGTTTGTTTACAAACTGACCTATTTTTCACTAGCAATTTTTTATGCTTCAATTAAATGAAATTATAAAAATAAAACAGTTTATACAATGATAAAAAAGATTATAAGAAATACAATTATTTTTTTCTGGAGATTTAGAATGGCTTCTAGATTGAGTCTAAACGGGGAGTAAACGCAATTCTGACATAAAGGCATGCTGGTCCACAAGTTGCACGTGGTCAATCTTTGCATTGACATTTATATGTTCCCTTTTAATAAAATTAAAATAAAGGCTGCGCTAATGTGACACCTAAATTAACACAGATTTATATATAATGTGTAAATCCTAAGCTGCGTGTGACCTCAAAACAGGTAGTGAATGTATTCTCAAATCACAGTGCTCACAAACTGATACTGGTCCTTATGTAATAAACTCTAAACCAATTAATATATGTGATAATAACAATGAAAGGGATAAATAGGTTGAAAGACAACAAAACCTAAAAGCAAGCACTGTGATTTGAGAATATATTCCCTTTATTGCTATACAGGGGCCCATACTTTGAATGTGATTTCTCCTTAATTAGAGGAGAAAACGTCTTGTTTGAGTAGATATCAGGATCTGACAACAGCCCGGAAATACAGATGGACCAGCTCTTCTGCATATACCAGAATTCAAGTTTCCCAGTCTCGGTCTAACAATAGTGACCCAATAAAGTGCATCCAAGATAGTAGAAGCAAAGTTTGCTTTTCTGAGGGTGCTTAAGGATTCTTAAACTCTGTAAGAAAGAAAACATTCCCCCTAGCAACATTGGTGACATTTGCCCACTCTTGCTTAAGCCGAGTGACCCCGGTTAACTAAAGTTAGAGACTGTTAACAACCTTCAGGGGTATTGAATCTCTAAATCTGGAAGAGACATAATTTTATTTTTTAAAATTACAGTTTATTTATATGTAAATGAATGAATGAAAAAAGTTTATACTAGTTTTTAGTTAAGTTCATCTTCCAAATATTTTTGTGAGACACATTTCTTTCCATTTATAGATTGCTGTACTCCGTTCTTCCACCATCTGTCGCTAACGAACTCAGGCATAAGAGGCCAGTACCAGCCAAAAGATACGACAATGTCACAATCCTGTTCAGTGGCATTGTGGGATTCAATGCTTTCTGCAGCAAACATGCTTCTGGTGAAGGAGCCATGAAAATTGTGAATCTCCTGAATGACATTTACACCAAATTTGACATCTTGACAGACTCTCGAAATAATCCCTTTGTCTATAAGGTAAAATGAATGGGAATAGGGGAGAACAAACCACCAAAGTTTTGATTAGTGCAGTTAGCCCCAGAGCATATGATCATGTTGCAAACAGTCTTCATATTCTGCTATGGGCCCATAAGATTATAAAATGTCATTTTTCATCCAAATGGAACTTTCATTTTTAGTGTTTCACTTGTAGCTTTCCTTTAAATTGATACACCAGCTCATTTAACTACCTCCGGGCCGTAGTAAAAAAAACGACTGGCCGGAGCTCTCTAGATCTGAGCGGGCGTCTTTAGACGTCCGCTCAGACACGCCCCCTAGCGTGCCGCTGGGCGCGCCCCAGCGGGAAATGCCCGATATTTAAAAACAGGCAGCGATGCCTGTTGACATACAACAGCCGGCGGATCGCTTGTATGGGGTAACGATCGGTGCCCCCTTCCCTCCGCGGTCCCCCCCGCTGTTGTCCTGCTGATCCCGGGCTCCGCTGTGTCCGGTGCAAGCCCGGGATCAGCATGGCGCCTGTGTCACAGGGGATCAGAGGGAGATCGTTACACGAGCTCCCTCCGGTCCCCTCTCCTCTGCAAGAATGCGGAAGTGTTGTATATTACATCACTTCCGCATTCTTGTGTCACTCTCCAGCTTCAGAAGCTGGAAAGAAGCTGATGGAGCAGATCTCTGCTTCATCAGCTTCTTTTGGGGGGTCCTAGGTGACATTAGGGGTCTTGGAGACCCCTGATGTCTCCATAAAGAGGACCTGTCACATATTTTGCTATCACATAGGGGGTTTTTATCAGCCCCCATATGTGATAGCAATAAAGTTTAGTGGAAAAAAAAATAGGAAAAAAAAGTCCCCCCCCCCAAACAAATTAATGTTACACATAAAAAAGAGTAAAAAACAAATTTATTTTTTTAAAGTCCCCACCCATACATACACGCATGCAAACATGCGTCGGTAGCGCATACGTGCAAAAAAGACGATTGTGCCCATTACACTGCACATGTTACATATCGTGAACGTCGGAGTGAGATAAATCATTCTAGGGCCATCAATCACTGATAACGCTAAACTGATGAGCGGTAAAAGCTTTTAAAGTGTAGCCTATGACCAATTTTGGGTATGGTAGTTTTCTGCGATTTCGCAGGTGCGCACAATTTTAAAGCTTGACATGTTTGGTGTCTATTTACCTGACGTGACCCCGTCTTTTATATTTTACCAAAAAACTGGGTAATAATAAATGTTTCCTAACATAATGTAAAAAAAACGTGTTTTTTTTTCTAAATTTTCAGTAATTTTTCCTAATTATAGTAAAAAATAAAACCCCCAGTGGTGATTAAATACCACCAAAAGAAAGCTCTATCTGTCCCCAACAAATGGTATAAAATTCATTTCAGTACAGCGTTGCATGACGGAATAAATGTCAGTCAAAGTACCACAGCACTGAATACTGAAAAATGGCCTGGCCAGGAAGGGGGTCTAAACACCTGGCAGTTAAAGCTAAACTTAGTGCTAACAGCTAAATAGAGATTTCAAATACATATAAGGGAGCTGTTTTACCTAACAAAAGTTTAGTATTTGTGTCCTTCCAGTCTTGAGATTTACTCAGTCCTGCTAAACAGAAAAGCCAGGTTGATGACTAAGCAGTGCAGCTAGGTCACCACACTTAACTGTTATCAGACAATGGAAGAGCAGCAGCAGTGTGGTAAAGTCATCTCTCTACTCACTCTGCTCTTTCCTCCTTCTTGAGGGCTCCTTCACACCATATGTGTTTGGGCTGTGCTGGCCGTTTTATCCAGTGCATCGCGAACAAACAACAAAGCATTTTGCCTTGTCATGGATGGGTATGGTTCACACCACCGTAGCCACCACCATGTTGCCCACCACCATGTTGCCCACCACTATCATGCCCGCCACCACAAAATGATTTGTGTTATAAAACTATACAGTTAACATAGGCTTATGTGTAACATAAATAAATAACCACTATGTGTTCATAAATTGTATCATGTCTCTTGTAAAATTGTAAAATGTCTCTGTTTTTGCTCATACATTAAGATTTACAGTCTTGTAACCAAGCTTTAAATAGAATTGCTTTGCTTTTCATCTTTTTACTGTCACCAAATTTGTAATCACTGTGTTTTAAGGATACGGAACACTTACTAGATACCGAGGCGCATCCACTGCCTGTTTGACTTTGAGACACATTCTGCACAGCACTGAAATGTTGCGGGCTTTGCATGGGGAAGCAGTGTGAATAAATGGTGCAGTCTAGACACTGCCGGCAATGTTCTTTGGAAAAGCAAAGTAATCTGTAGTCCACAAAAAATTGCAGAAAATCATCTGTATAAAGCAAAATTATTGTACTTACTAATTGACTCAGCTTTTCCTCATGATTGCTAGAATGCGTGTCCTTTTGCCACTCCCACGTGCCAAATCCAGCGCCTTATTTAACCCTGCAGCTTGTCCTTTTTGGCAGCTTCAACTGGCTAAAAGCCAAGGTTACACTAAAGTACCACTCGTGCACACACAAAAGACTCTCCTACCGTAGTTTGCCTTTGCATTGCCATGCAACACCGACAAATGAAAGACGTTGCCCTCGTAGAGAACTTTACATTCCAACATCTGTACTGTGCTGGGAATGCTTCATGGTTGTGGATGTGCAGGCCACTATGCTGATTCTTAAAGCGACTCCAAACTCAGGACTTAAATCTTAAAAATGCATTCACGTACCCTAAGTATTAACAAAAATGTATCATATTTGCGTATCACTCAGCTGTAGATGCTCAGATCCTTTCTGGATTCGTGCTGACACTGTCCTTCCTTCGCTCCTGTGATGGACTACAATCCAAATACAAATTAGTAAACTAAACATGAAATTACGGGAGTGAGCTTGGAGCGGAGGCTACTTTACAACACACAGGGACCATGGGGAACAAAAGTAGCCACCATTCAGAAGGAAGGACAGTGTCAGCACGAATCCAGAAAGGATCTGAGCATCTACAGCTGAGTGATACGCAAATATGATACATTTTTGTTAATACTTAGGGTACGTGAATGCATTTTTAAGATTTAACTCCTAAGTTTAGTGTCACTTTAAGAATCATGCATAGTGGACTGTATATACACAACTATGAAGCATTCCCAGCACTACCTTTTGGTAGGAGTGTTTAAGCCCCGCTGGCTCCATGTGCAGAAAATGTGCATCAGTTCATTATTAGATTTGATTTTAGAGTTCCATCCATATTTGAAGATGTTTTCTTTCGATTGTGACACATTTCCACTATTTTATTTAATCCATATTCCGATAAAAAGTACCGTACTATCATTTTCACTGAAATGGATATTTTGTTGCTCCAAAGAGATCAGATTGAAAAAGAATGGTTTAAATATCTTGCACTCGCCACAGATTTTTCAAATGATCAAACATTTTCCTAACTTGTCTGATCATTTCCCTTTTAACACAGGATAAAATTATTGCGGGTGATAAAAATATGCCTACTCATGCTCCTTTTTTTAATTATGGAAACTAACAGAATATCAGAAATATATTACAATAATTTCAATATTGTAATTGCACCTACAAAAAATCCAATGAGTGGATATTGCTTGCTTTCAGTTTATTTCCTAATTCATACTTAAGCATGATCTTCTTTCAGGTGGAAACAGTTGGAGACAAGTACATGACTGTCAGTGGTCTTCCAGAGCCTTGTGTTCATCATGCCCGCTCTATCTGCCATCTTGCCTTAGACATGATGGAGATTGCTGGACAAGTTCAGGTAGATGGAGAATCAGTAAAGGTGAGTTTTATTCCATTTATTCCATAAGAAAGGGCAGCCATCTGACAGCTTGTATTTTACCCGTTGATGATCTTGGGAATGCTACACACACAAAAAAAACTATACCAGTGCCGATACTTGGCATTTTCATGAGAACTATCAGGGTTGCAACGGTTGCAGATGGGACCTAGCTCTGGCGCTGCACCACTGTCCTGAAATCTTTAGTCTGTATTGTTTTTGAAAAACTGTCACATGACAATAAACAAAAATTTATCAGTACTTGTGTCTGTAAGTACTTGGGCAAGTATCAGTACTTGTACTTGCAAAAATGGTATCGGTGCATCAATTTATTTATAAAAACAAAATCATACATTAACACAGAGCTGTACAAATCCCAGGAGCTCCGTGTGCTCCTTACAAATGACATCTGCCTCCTAACTTTTGAATTTTTCTCTAGTCTAATCTTGGAGCTCGAAAAGTATCTGTATTTGTACTTGTACCAAGTACGGTACTTGGTATCGGTGCATCCCTAGTTTACAGCATCTTTTGTCACCATAAACTTAATAGGAAATGCCTGGCAACATGCGACACAAGAAATATTGCATGTTTTTGTGCTTTTCTCTTCACGTGTTTGCCTATTTATACCAATGTCTCAGGATCAGCCAGCTAAAACAAGCAACTTAACATATGTGCGTCAGATGTGCACACAAACGTGCAAAAGACGCTCAAAAGCGCTAGGCAAAAACACGCATAAATGCTGTTGCCTAGTTGTGAATGTAAGCTGAAAGTGCAATGTTTTGCATGTTTTCCTTGAAGTACATGGTAAAGGTTGACCATTTTTTGAGATGTTTACTATACATAATCTGTGGAAATACATTAATTACTGTACATTCCATGTGGATCGGACGGGGGACGGGGCGGGTACAGCTGGCTCTGCCTCTAGATAGGCAGAGCCAGCTATCACTCACGCAGCTGGGCGGATCCAGACATAATTGTCGGGATCCGCTTCAGCTGCGGCGTCTCAGTATACCGCGAGCAGTAGCTCGTGGTGTACTGTGGTGTCTCAGTATACGACGAGCTGTAGCTCGCGGTATATTGAGCTTAGGGTGACGGGAGGATGCTAGTTTGTGTCCTCCTGTTACCCTAAGGAGAACTATGGGGAAAAGCCTCAACCCCATAGTTCTCCTTTAAGTTCATACTCAAGAATGCATTCAAAATAGATTTTGCTGTATTTTGTAACAGTGTATGTTGGGAGCCTTGATGTGGAAAATGCAATGGAATTCAAAGGTATCCCTGCCTTTAGATAGTACAGTTTTGTTACCATGAACATACAGTACATGTATAATAAATTTTAGGGTTTGTTCATCAGCCTTTAATCTGCATATTGGAGACATCTTTTCTTTTTTTTTTTAATTACCATTATACTACGTTTCCCTGCCGTTTATTCTGCTTGACTCTGAAGATCTTTAACGAGACTATACAAGAAGTCTTTTTGATAAAAGCCTAATGTTTTAGCACAGTAATCTCCAATAGATAAAGATTAATACCGTACTGCTTCTTCTGTAGCTGGAAAATACACCAGAACGCATGCAACTAGATACCAGGCACATCAAATATGATTTACTGCCACTTTATAAGAGAGATTAGCCGAGGGTAAAACAACAGAGAAGTGCAAAATTCCTCTAAGTAATAAATGTGTGCCCAGTGAAATTGCTCAGCTTATTAACCTAAATGGCTGGTCACATAATGTTTGTACTTTCCAAAGCATGGCAGACATATTACGGGCAATTAAGTCAGGATTGAACAATTCTAAATTATTTGTCTACGTGTGCATTTATATAAGGCTGGCGTCCAGTGGATGATTTCATTGCCAAGGGATTTTTGTTAATAAAACCCAGACCTAGGAATCTAATAAAGATCATAGACATGAGTTAGAAGACTCAGGGTTGTGAAGATCAGTACTGATTAATAACTCTGAGTCATTATTGAATGTTAAAGTTACGTAGAAAATATTTCAGGAGTTAGCTGAAAGACCGTGCAATAAGTGCAATAAGCTTACGCTAAGTGTTGGAATTCTGTTAAGATTAATTTAAAGCACCACCACTGAGAGAAGTAAAATTAAAAAATTTAATTTTATATTGACTACTATTGTAATTTGTATTAAAAAGGAAGTAGAGTATTTTTTGTAAAAGTGCTGACAGCTTTTTTTATGACAGAAGAGACTGTCATAAAACTGGTCAAACAAATTTCGGGCAGTCCTTGTCAGCAGCCTTCCACCCAACATCCTTTGATCAGAAAATCAAAAGAGTCGGGTGGAATATTTTTGGCCAAATAGTGCCTGCAGCCACTGTTTCGGGTATCCTGGAAGCACCACAGCCCTTGCTGTCCGAATAACGTACACACACAGCTCAGTTTACAGTCTCGGCACCATTAATTGCCGATATTCCCATGCACATATGCAGGAGTTATGTCATCTAGGCCTTTAAGACTTTAAACTAAACCTGGAAGAAGACTGAGAGAAAGATGGAAGTGACAGCGAGGGTGGAGAGCGCTGACAGCTCAGTGTTGGAGGACATTGCTTTGGCAGGCAAGACTGCCAAATTGTGCTCATATGCTATGCATACTATCAAATGATGGCTTAAAAAACATTTGGGGTTTTTTTTTTTTTACAATATACTTCCACTTCATCTATATGCAGCTACCAGAATACAATATTTTTCAGGCAGTTTAATCTGTCCAGGTGTTGGCAGCTTTATAATGTTGCCTTTCAAAATCCCAAGCTTGTCCATGTCAAGCTGTGGAGAAAGGAATGTAGGGTGGGAGGAATTGCCTATTTCAAGACATAAGGCCTTTTGTGACTCCCACTGATCGTTGTTTGGTTTACTTTGATTTAAAAAAATGTTTGTCTTTATTTTACAGGTGTCTTATGAGTCCAGAAAATGCTGATCCTCAGTTCCACTTACACCACAGAGGTCCAATTAGCATGAAGGGTAAAACAGACCCAATGCAAGTCTGGTTTTTATCCAGAAAGATCACAGATTCAAAGGTATGACTAACATGGGTGTAATTGTGATTCTGTGATTCTCTAAACATTGTACATTTTTCCGCATGGACCTAATTTGGGGTTTTAAATAATTGTTTGTGATTCATATGTCTAAATATTAAGATGAGCACTTTTTCAATATCACATGTACAAGCAGTGTAGAAAGAAAGGTGTACTGTAATGATTAAAATATCTTCATATGATTTCATAGAAATGTATCATGTACAACTGGAGATTTCTGTCAATAGTAACTATAAACTGAGTCATTCAAGTACATTGACTGCTCACTGTCCCACAGGACAGTTCTTTTTATATATTTAATTTTAGTATTGGATAGTGATTAAAAGTTAGAATAAGTTTTTTTAATTTCTGTCCCTACTCTTACTTCTTGTTCCTGTGACACATGTGCAAGAAATGATGGTTGTCACCAGGGAAGGGAATCACATACAGCAATACAAATATTGTCAGATGGTCTAAACCTGACACACAAAATATGTATTGGTTTTTAGCTTATAGTAGTTAGTTACATTAAACTGGATTTATTCTGTGATGTTAAAGACAGGACATGAATATGGAATTTGCCAAATGGTGACATAGATGGCAATAAAACTTGAGAGGTGCTAACTTTCCCCTGCTCAATCCGAAATAAAAACCATCAGGTGGGAGCTGGGCTTCATTGAGGAAATGTGCAGTGATGCCGTAACCCATATCAGCTAAAAAGGTTTCTGTGTAGTAAGTAGTAGTAGTGTAAGTAGTAAGTTCAGTAAGGAAGATATGTGATTGTAGATCACCATTGAAATGCCTCACTGAATTAACCCAGAAGTATCACAAACACAGAGAAAAATCAAGATGAGTTTATCGCTAACAAGTGTCGACAAAGCTAGAGACTAGCAAGTAATGGGGTGGGGGTAGAATGGAATTCTCTATTCTCTCTTCAGTCTGTATTTAATATTCAGATTGTGAAAAATCAATGAATAGCAGTACTGTACATAGAAGCAAAAATTTGTTTCTACCACTATACTGTGTATACACGCTTTGCAACACCCATAAAGTTGTATCTTTTATCTGCTGCAACCCCTAAAAATATTTCTTGTTCAGTAATTTCCCAATTTGCCGAAGAATTAGTTATATTGATATAGTGAATGCACTCCATTCATTGGGGGGAATTTATCATAGCAATTGCGAGTGTTTGAACGCGCATATGGTCGCATGGGATATATTTGCGCCACAGTTATGTTGCTAGTGTAATGTTGTTCATAAATGAGATTAAATAGACTCGTAACTCCAGGCCAAAAGCTTAACTGTCGCTTCTTGAAGAAGTGGTCATGGGGACTTCTTAAGTTGCGATTGTTTTGTTAGGTGATGCTCCAGATTCAGACAGCCGCAGGACAAGCGCAGATGTAAACAGTTGCAAACTTTCGCAAAACACACACAATCGGAAAAATAGTGCAAGTTCTGGTCAAAACAGGCGCACATGTTAAAAGGAGTGGCTAAACAGATTTGCACATTAAAAAAAATTATCTAAGAGGCTAAAACTGTCACAATTGCTTTGATAAATTCCCCCCATTATGTTTATCCTTCATCCATTTTTCTAGGAATGAATAGTCAGACTTTGACGAAGCAAGAATCCAGGAAAACGACCAAGTATTGTACACAGAGGAGGACTGTTCTGTCTGACCACATTTCTTTCTTTCATCTATACCAACCACCCCTGGAAATGGATTTTAATTTTTTTGTTATATATACCAATTTGTAGTTGTAGTTTTATTGTGAATAATTTGATGTATCGTGTTCTTTGCCCTGGAGGCAACACATTATTTGTATGCTATAAAGTAATTATAAAGCTTGTAAAAATATGTATAGTGTTTCACTAAGCAATGGTTAAGTCTAGTTAACAAATACTCAACAGTGGTATAATAATAAAGTTATTAATAGACATATGTGTATGGAACAAATTAAAGCCTAACTGAACTTTTAGCTTAAATCAGCTAAACACATTGCAGGTGTAGCAAAGCAAAAGGGGTGCAAAGTATTACAGTTCACATTCTTTAAAAGCAGCCACAACAGTCTGTCCCCTGCCAGCATGCTGCATAGGACCCCTGCTCTCTTTGTAGAAGCAGTAGCGTCTCTGCAGAGATCAGGCAAGCCCCTACTGAGTTAGAGCCAGAGCTTTCCAATCAGCTGGGAGCATGAGCTTTATTGATTGCATAGCTATAGGTCTGAAACAGCAGTGGTTGTGTTGGATCTGTGCAGAGAAACCACTGCTTCCACACAAAGAGCAAGTGTCCTCTGCAGCATGTTGGCAGGACACATGCTTTTCCAGTCAAGCTGTGGCTGCTTTGCTGAAGAAAATGAACTGTAAGATTTTGCCCACCTTGTATTTTGATGCATCAGGAATATGTGTAGCTGATCAAAAGTGGAATTTCAATTGGACTTTAAATAGTGCATATTGTTAACATTAATGATCCCAAAAGATTCAGTCATGCTTGTTAAGGAAACAGTCTTTAAAATACTGACCTCATGCCATTTCTGGGATACCCCTTTCCATGTTTTGTGCCGTCACCCATTAGATTTGTAAGCCTAGCTGGTCTACATGCTTTTCAATGTCAAGCCCATGCTGAACAATTCATTAAAATTAGTAATGTGATAGTGATAGTGATGAAAAAAATCCTTACCATCAGAATTATTTGTATAATGATACCCATAACATATAAAATAAATACATGTAACTACACATTCATTATTTTTATATGTGTAATGATATTCAGAGTTCCTATTATAAATATAGCTTTATCAAAGAGTTTATACAGTTTATATACATGATAGCAATATACAGTGTGTGATACTTATTTTACTTAAAAGTAAACGAAAGGAGAAAAATCAGCAGTAAATTGATGTAATCTGGATCTATAGGCTTTATACTTCATGCATTACATTTGTGTTTTTGCTTGGAGTTCTCTTAACAATGTACCCTAGTCTGTCGGACTGTAGTATTATATAACTAAATGTTAGACATTCATTTTGACACACAACGGCAAAGGCTTGTAAATATTTACCAAGAAGAAAGTGTTATTTTTAAATATGTGTCATATAATAGTCATATAATAGTCATATAATAGTATATCATATTTCAGGTAACATATAAATATTTCAGTATATTGTGCTATTTTTCCAAAACTATTTAGATAACTTTTTCATTGTGAAAAATAACATGTTTCTTAATATGTATCTGTATCTTTATATTAGCTATGTGTACAGTACAATCTGTCTATAAAACACTAATAATACATTCTTCATCATCCTGTATATTTTTGTGTAAATATTTGTACATTGCATTTCACCAAACTGTCTATTGTTACAAATAATAACAAAGTATTAATATTACTAATAGAGTCACTTTGTAATTACAGTGTTGGAGCAGAGCTGATGCATAGTGATACTTGTTTTCAAGTCAGAGTCCATATAGAAGATATGTTATTGAAGATATAATATAATCAGTTAGATATAAAACAATAACTACAGTGTTAACCATATTTAAAGTGCAATGAAAGTCTTTTAGCTCATCTCAAGCTTCTTTGATCTGTGGTTTATCAAAAAGACAAGGCATAAAGCAGAAATCCAGGCAAAGATGTTCTTAACCCTTGCAGCGGGGCTACCCCCACACTGCAAGGGTTAAAGTGACATTATCTACTGTAGGGACTTACCTTAAATAATGTATTTTTACCTCCCTGGCGGTCTGATTATTTCATTTTTTTTTTCCTTTTTTGTTTCTATTTTTTTTTCTTTTCTTTTTTACTTTTACATTTCCTGCCGGTTCTGCCCTCCTGCGACGCGGACGCTCGCAAGGGACGGAACCCAGAAGACTGATGCCTGCATCGGCCGGAGGACACAGCGGGGATCGTGGACTAGGTAAGTAATGCGCTGTGTAATCCCGAGTGTGGCTCGGGGTTACCGCTTTTGGTAATGAAAATTAACCCTGAGCCACATTCGGGAATACCGCTAGGGAGGTTAAGCCGATCTTCTTCTTCTTTCCTGTCCTTCTCAGCTGTCCCTCCAGCGCTGGGTGCGGGTCTCTGATCCAGCGCTGACTCCTCTGTCCTCCTTTTCTCTCATGTCCCACAGTGTCTGTGCGGGTGCATGCTGCTCCATAGACTTACCTTGTGTCTCTCCTCTTCTCCTGGCCGAATATCTGAAGTGTGCATGCGCTCGCCCCCAAACCCTTCCTGGCTGCCTGAGACTCTTCAGATGTAAATATTAACCCTTTTTAAAAGGTTGTTTTTAAAAATGTTTTTGCATATATCTACTGCTTGCTAGCAGTAGATATATGCAAAAACACGCAAGGGTTTAATAACCCTTTGAGTGCTCCTTTTTGTCTAGGTGTTACAATAAAAGTTAAACTCATGTGAACAGTGTAGCCAGCTCGATGGTACTCCAGTCCCTGAAGCCTGTCTCCCCCTCTGTTGCTGCAGCCATGGTATGTCCTCACGTCCTATACACTGTGTAAAGACTGTGATGATACGAAGATCCTTATACCACTGTAGTGGAGGGGGGAAAGAGGCTCCACAGACCGGCCTAAGAGCAAGCCGGCTCAGAGGATCGGGTTAAGTATAACTTTGTTAGTTAGCACCTAAATAAAAATGAGCACTTAACTCTTCCAGAGTGGGGGTAGCGCCACTGCATGGGCTAAGAACAATTTTGCCCAGAGATCTGGAACTAAAGTCCTCTTTTGTGTAGGGTCCCTCCATCCACCTGCTGCAGAGGCAAGGCCAATTAGTGTCAAACAGATCCTTATTTTAAGGCGGGTATCTTAAGCATGGACTGAAGCCACCTGGTTCGTCAAAAGTACATTTTTCAATTGACTTATGTCAAAGGAGCCCAATGGAAAGTTGCCAACTGGACAGTGACTGCTGACAGCCGTGTATGCCAGCTTTTAGAATACAATAGCTGCCTGAGGCTCTTTAGTGTGGATGGGGGTATCAAGTGATTTTGATCCCCATCCATGCTGCAAGCCATGGCTGTAAGGAGGTGGTGGCAATGAAAAAGCTGACTGTTCTCGTTACTGGTAGGTATTTTAGCATTTTTATTATGAGCTTAACCTAGCCAACAGAAAGGTGGAAGGTAATGTCCCTACTTTACCAACTTTGGAAAACATTACTGTGTAGTGATTTTGTCACCACAAAAGAGCACTTAGACATGCAGCAGTTCACTAATTAAAGTACATTTTTGCACCAAATCTGTGTCCTGTTTTACTTGTTATGTTATATTAAAATTATATATAGCCCAAACCTTTTTTTAATTTTGGATAGAGTAGGGATTGGTTAATCCTTGTCAGATTATCTTTGTGTATGTGTCCTCTTTAGGGGAGTTCTCTTCACTTCCTGTCCCAACAGGAGTAGAACTCTCTACAAAGTGAGAGGAACTACCCTCTTATACAGTTGTAAACAGAACAGGTGTCCCCATTGGAAGATTTACCCTGACCTCTTGTTCTGGTGACAACTGTAAAATTTTGGATTTCCTATCACTCGCTGTCTCGTGGCAATGGTCGACAGAACACTATGGGGTCTATTCACGAAAGCAGCCGAAAGATCTAGCCGTAGCTTCGGCCCCAGGACCCCTTCGGTTCAGTAGGCTGCTGTACGGGCTATTCAGTATAGCCCGTACAGCTCCCGAAGTCGGCCGAGCGGGTCAGTCGAGCCGAAGGCATATGCTTTGGCTCGACTGAGCCGCGCTGAAAGCTGAAGCTGGCCGAGCGGCCGGCCGACAGCCTGCTTTTGACAGCTGGGTGGATACAGCCGTGATCTTACGGCTGGCTCCGGCCATTTGCAGACAGATCAGCATCCCTGGTTACCAATTAACCAGGGACACTGATCTCCAGACAGCCTAACTCTCCCGGGCGCTCCGGGAGTCTCCCGCTCCTGGCTGCCCGGGAGAGAAACACTGCTTTTTTTAATTCTGACACGGAGCCGTTGGCTGGCGTCAGAATGAAAAAAAAAATGTTCACCATAGGAATGCATTGCTAGATTCCTATTGGCTAATGCAATTAGCAATAGCCAATAGCAAACTAGCTAATGCACCCACCCACTGCTGCAGTTCTCCATCAGGTCCCCACTAGTGATTGACAGCAGTAGAGGGCGGGTGCAATAGCTAGTTTGCTATTGGTTATTGCAAATTGAAATAGCCAATAGGAATCTAGCAATGCATTCCTATGGCGAAAGTTTTTTTTTGAAGGCAGCAGAATGTTCCATTGGAATGCATTGCTAGATTCCTAGATTCCTGCGAGACCCCAAAACGCCGCATTGAGTGTATCACGTTATGCTGCTCATACGTCAATAAACAGATGTATTTGACTTGCTCCTGGCTTGCCAATGTCTATATATTTCATTTGATATTGACCACGATTGCCAACCGTCGACAGCTGCAGCAACCACCCTCATTATCTTTGGAACAGCAGTTTTGAATGTGATGGGTTCATGGACTTCACCCAGATGCTGCCCCTCCCTTTGTGAATGATTAAGGGGTACTTGTACTCCTACTCATTCACTTTTGGGTTGCAAGTAAATAAACACACCAGACTAATAAAAATCATTTAATTGAAAAAACAAAACAAAGGTTTTTGACATCCTTTAATAAAAAAATAAAAACACCAAAAAATAGAAAACAATAATCCACCGCCATAATCCAAGGGTCAATTTACTAAGGGCTAGCATGACTTTTTGGGGGAACCCCACATACTTCTTTTTATTTTTAACTTGGGGATCCCTCCTAACTTTCTTACAAGACCTAAATGGTTTGGTATGGATTGAGGGGGGACACCACGCCGTTTTTCTTTTCTTTTATTTGCATTTTGTTTTTATTCTGCTCGCTACCTCCGTTCGGCGGCATTTGGCTATTCACTCACTGCCTTTCGACCCCTATGAGAATAGGGGCAAACGGCAGC